TCTGTGCGGGAAATAAAAGACAGAATCAACATTCTGAACATCCACATAATCATAAAAGGTTGAATCAGGAACTCCTGACACTCAAAGAATCGTTGACCTCTAAAAAGTTTAATATTATTTAAATAAATAAATAAATATTAATTTCAAGCTCCCTTAATGTAAGTTTAATATAACGTATAATATCAAACCTCTTATTCTAAGAGTGAATGTTTAAGTGCAGCCAAAACAGGTTTATCACCTTCGTCAGCACTTTGATGCCCATCAGATCGATGAAGCAGACGCCTGCCAGGTCCAGGACGAGCGTGTGGAAGGGCATGGGCTGGGGCTCCAGGGTGACGGCACCGGGACTGGGCGGCTCTGGGTCGGGCGTCTGCTCGCCCTGCTCAAGGTCACTGCAGTGGAAGTTGACGTAGCTGGTGGGAGTTTCGGGGGAGTTGCCGTCGCTCATGTCAAAGTCGTTCTGCAGGTCAAGCTGAGATATGGTCTGTAGAGGAAATACACAAACACAGAGGTCACAGGTTGTAATGTCTCACAGTTTGAATATGTAAAAAGGTTTTTCTGTGAGTGTCTGATTTCTGCTCTTGATCCCAACCTGAATCTTCATGTTAACCAACGAGCTGAGCTTCCTCCTTCTCGACCCCTTGTCCATCTTCTCCGTTTTTACTTTTTCCTTCATTTCCTTCTCCAGGAACTTGCGCCTGGCCAGAATGAGTTTTCCAGGGTCCAGTCCGGTCTAGACACAAACACACTCACTCAAACCTGCTGAACCGTGAACGACAGCAGACACAGGTCATGGACCCACTGTACCTTTTTGATGACCCTCTGACGAAATATCTCAGCATTTGCAAAATAGAGCGGCGAACAGTAGTTGACTATTTTCACCCCTGTTATTGGCATGACCTGTGGATTTAATACAAAACAGTTAAATGCATCTGCGTTCACTTACATTATATATATATATATATATATAGAGAGAGAGAGAGAAATATCAAAAGAATTGTTTTAATACCTTATTGTACACCTTTGGATTTATGTAGATGTCTGTGTCCACAATCTGGACCATTGCTGATCCATTACGACTACACAGTATTAGGAACGCAGTATTAAAATAGATCATCCCTTAATATAAATATATACTCTGCTTCATTTCATTGTTGGTTCAAATACAGAACTTAGTGAAAGGAGTTTACTTACAACTGCGTCTTGAATATCACGACCAGGATGGAAAAGCCCACCCCGATCGCGACTCCGTAAGGCAAGCTGAGAAAGAACGTGGCCAAGAACGACACAACCCACACACACTGGGAGAGAGAGAACAATGGAATGAGGAGACAACATATGATGGCGAACAGGTGTTGTTTTGTGTTGCTATAATGCAAAACAACACACAGCTTTGACTCACGCAGTCTAACTTGCTCTTCTTCCATAAGTAATAGGGATCAGAGATCTGCAGGAGCGTGTTCTTCAGGTTCACTGCGATTAAGGCTCCGAGCACTGACTGAGCAATCAAACACATATTAATAATTATGACAACAACTGTTTTGCGTCATGTTTCGAGGTGCTAATGTCACACCTACTTTGGGAAGTGGTCTCAGGAAGGCCCCCAATGCAAGCATGGTAACCATAACAACCAGCATCACGCACAGGCTGGCAAACTACGAGAGGACACGTGTGCGTTAGTTACTTACTTAAAACATTTCTATGTAACTTTTCAAGACCAGAGCACTCACCTGTGATGTTCCCCCAGCGTTGTCCACAGCCAGGGTCACAGACAGAGCGCAGCAGATCACATGGATCTTAAAGAAGGATCCAAGGAAGTTGCTGCAGCCCAGCGCCAACATTTCCTGTAGAGAAACGTGCAACATTTCAAAAATGGATTCAAATTTTTCTCAAATTAACTTCACAAAGAGATGCTGGGTTTTTTTTTTTTTTTTACCTGGTTGGGATCCACATCATATCCATGCTTGGCGGCCAGAGTCCTGCCCATAGCCAAGTTGATGACATACCCAACTATCGCCAGGGAGAAGGCTGTGCCCAACATGTCATCCCACTGACTCACTGTGGGCACGATCGGAGCTGGGAATCTGGACGATAACGAGAACCAAACAAAGCATGGATTGCAGGAGTAGTTTAAATAAAGGAAGCAGCCATTGATCAGGAGTTTGCCGACATGTGCTTTACCCCAAAGGGATTTCTCCGACTATGTCCATGTGGTAGATCTCAGGAAGATGCAGAGGGCCTGAGATGGCTGTGGCCACCACCACCTGAGCAGGAGGAGGGAGAAACAACAATCACCTTTATGCTGCTGGACTAGGTCGATGAAATTGAACACAAAGTGAAGAGAGGCACTTTTGTGTCCTTCGAGAAATGAACAAACTATATCCTACTTACAATAATGATCTCCATGGGGACGGGGAAGGGCAGTTTGTGGCGGTAACGTGCACTCAGCTCCTTGACGACAATCAGAACCACGCTGCTGACCAGAGCGAAGACTAACGACGCTACGTTGGTATCAGCAAGACCGGCTACGATATCTATGAGAGTCTGTGACAATCAATTAAAATGACATACTAACAAATCCATTTTGATTTCCTTGTATTCAGTATACAACACATACTCACATATACAACAGCCAGGGGGCCACTATACGGAGGCACTTTAATGCCGAAGATGTACTTGAGCACTGAGATGAGGATCTGTAACCCTGCAGCAGTCATGAAGCCTCTGACGAAGGACTCTGACAGATAGATGGCAACAAACCCAAACTGCATGAAGCCAAAGCCAATCTGTGAGGACACGGGTGACTTTTAGAATTGACCTACACCTCTAATGACAATCATTCCTCTTTCATTTCAGTTTAACAGACTGAGCTCTGAGGGGAACAAGTACCTGTATGATTGCAGTGAGGCAGGCCAGAGTTCCAGATATCCCCAGACGAACCTCGTTCATCCTGTCTGTGTCCACCACTGTGGCGTTAAGAGTGGCGTTGAAATGACTGAAGTCCGAATCTGGGGCCAGCTGAAGACACACGATTCCCACCATAATGCTGAGGACGGCAAAAGTACCTGAACGCAGGGAGTACTGTGTCACATCTACTTTTCTTTGCCTCATGCTGCAAACAGGGCAGAGTCGGGCTGAGTGCAGCTGATCTGCATTGTGCAGCTCTGGCAACTTATCACTGTCATCCCACGAAATCGCAGCAGATAAATCACTCTGATTTACCTGGGACCATCTGGTGAGCAGTGCCCATGAAGAAATATGGGATGAGGGGGAAGAAAGAAGAATAGAGGCCATTGACGGGAGGGAGATTTGCCAGGAGGGCAAACGCCATGCCTGGAGAGAACAGAAACCTTTTTATAACTGTCAAATAAATCACAAGGAGGAACAGAAACTGCGTTATATATATACTGGGTGTTAACGCTGATGCAGCTAGCAGCAGTGGACAGGTATTACACAGACGCATCAGCAGAAAGAGAGGAGTGAGTGACCTTGGGGAACCTGGATGGTGCCGGCGCTGACCCCGCTGATAACATCACACAGCAGGTTGTCTTTTGCTTTGTACTTGGGCAGCCAGCTCAGGACGGGCAGGTGTCTGAATAACAGGCCCCTCAGTCTCGACACGGAGCATCTGACGGAAACAAATGGGAGAAGCTCTATGAGAAGCTCTGCTTGTGTTGCTCTCACTGTGAAACTCTTGTAGAAACTTTGTGTTGAGTCAAAGCTCGACTCGAATCGTTTCTTTCACAGCAGCACATTTGCCATTTTCTCGTTGTTTGAGTAACAAATGCACTCGGTCGGTCTTAAATTGAGGTGCAGTCAGGTGCATTGTTTGGTGCATTGCTATCTAAAGGCATTTGCTGGAAATACTGCATCCCCGACTTCTACCAAGGTTTTTGTTATTTGCTGAAAAATCCCGTTGAGATTGTGAGATTCTAATTCTGTACCTGAAGAGTTTCTTTACTTTCTCTCCAACAGGAAACTGTCGATTCTTCTTGTCAAACTCTCTGTCGAAGTCTGGGAGGTTATACGCCGGCCTGTCAATCACATAACGTGGGCGGTCGTTGTGCATGGCTGGAGAATATAGAGGCATATTAAAGCCGTAATGAAAACACTGTAATACCCATAGACTGTATATAAAGATGTAATACCACATCTATCAATGTGAAATACAAAGATTTACCATTAATAACATGTAATACATCTTCACCCAGTGATAATAAAACATGTTCATCAGTTAAAGTGCACTGAGTTTCATACATCAAAGCTGAAAACACTTAACTCATTACATTTCTTCAACAACATATATATATATTTCTGACTTTCATTTTTAAAAATTACAATCCTAATTTAAATCCCAGTCTGAGTGTTTGACATTTAAAACCCTAATCTGACCTTGACGGATGAAGGAACAGTCAACATGTCGGGTCGCTGCTAAAATATTTGATCAACACCAGGTAAATAACAGCACACGCATGAGTTCACCTCGTCCCCATTCATCTTTCACTTCACAAGGAGAAAAACTTTTATTGTGAGTTTAGTCAAGTCTAACTCGTTTTATATTTCAGAACAAAATTAATGCTTAATTCAGTTCAACTCATTTAATAATGAGAAATAAGGGAAATCTGCACTTGAAAACATATTCCTTTATAAACACTGACAGAAGTCGTTAACTTTCAGGTAATAAACTGATTCCTGTAAACTAGTATTCACCTGCATTTATCAATACAATGATCCAACTGCAAGTAAAATGCCTTCACATCCATCTCAATACTATTACTACAAGATCAGTTTTAAAAATTCTGGTTAAAGTCTAATTAACAGCAGAAAGAGTGTGACAACAGCACTGTACCTTATCGTTGAAGCAGGAAGTCTGAAGGCATTCGGCTCAGACGTGTGTATCAACACAACTTGTTTGATTTCTTATCAAGTTGCACTAAAAGACCTTTTTCACCTTGTAGGTGGAGCGTGTGAAAAAAAAAAACTTAGCAGACAACATGAAATAATTAACAATAACTGCATCTTTAATGGGTTTGGTTTCTATACACGTGGGATTCTCACATTCAATCTCTCATGGACAAAAATACAAATGTACATGTTTTGTGGCAGAGGGTGGACAAACGTTACAGCTGGAACTAAACTACTCACAAAGCCTGGTGTGACTTACATAAATCACAGGAAGTGTAACATAAAACATACGTAGTGTATAAATAGAGGATTTCATCATTAAAAAGGGTGAGACATGAAGGATAGCATGTAAAACCTTTTTTTTTTTGCCCATTGTATCAGGATTTCTGTGCAAAACAATGGCGTCAAAGACTAAAGTGCAATTATTTATCAATTCGTTCTCTCTAGAGGAATGTCTCGGGACTGTAGACAGGAAGAGCAGGTCTCCCCCTGGTGGAACAAAAGATGAAAAGCAGAAATTCCACAGGAATGCCTTTTCTTTGAGCACGATACAAGACTCCACATTTCAAATCTAATGAAAGAAAATAAAACAGCTGAGTATGAAGTAAGAGATATATTAAGCACTTCCTTCTTAGGGTTGTAACAGGATTAGTTTCACTAAAAAGCTACGAATGAGAGAGAATCGGTTTAAATCAGCGGTTGAATTAAAAAAATATATCAATTCTTAAAACTGCTTCACTGATGATGGATATCAGACAGACAGTGAAACACAGCGACAGTCTGGAGATGTGGATATTCTGTGGTTCAGGGCTGGAGCTATGAAAATGATGGTAGGGGTAAAAATAATCAAGCAGTCCCAAACACACTGTCAACTTCTTATCGTCAGCGTGGTTTCAGGTAAGTGGTTTCAGTTTAGGTTCCGAGAGTATTTTCATTTCAGCAACTACTCATTGAAATAAAAACCTGTTATGGAAGCGGTTTCCTTTTATATATTATTTTTCTAAGCTTGAACGATCCAAAGATAAAATCTGTTTGTAAATCTCTTCATAAATAGCCTTCAGCAATTAACTCAAAATAAGTTCCATTCTTCAGAGGTTTACTTATGATGACGACGACGACGGGAATATAATATGTAGCTCATTAAAAGTAGGAGAACAGGTTACAATGCAAATACAGAACTTGTTAAGCGAGAGCAACAAGTGAAACTCCATGTGGAAAAAGGTCAGATGACTTTTTAATCTAGCCATGTCTGGGGTTTTTCCTCCTCTTTGTTACAAAAAGCTCTTTGACCAACTCCTGCCAGAAAACTAAAACCCCTCAAAGTCCATCGGAGTCTATAAAATAAATCCTGACTAGAAGTCGCTGAGGATGCTGATATCCGCAAACTCCTGGCGGTATCTGTACGAGTACAAGGCCAAGAGAAAGGACCACTTGAGAGTCAGGAAGCTCCACACGCAGGAGAGGTAGAGGCTCCTCGGGTCAGTGGGAGCTGCGGGGACAGAAGAAGTGAAGCGATGAATACTTTCCTCTGCTCTTACGCACATTAACAACGAGGAGGAAACGAAGGGAGGGCTTACATTGCTTCTGTGTGATGGCGAGGGTGAGGAAGGTGATGAGGGCGGTCACTGCCAGGATTGAAAAGAGCACGCCGACAGCGATGAAGAACTTCAGCCCCTTGAGCCACGTGCGCCAGTAGTCCTGCAGGTACATGATGTGTGTGACGAGAGACCAGAGCGCCAAAACTCCTGTCAAGAGACAAACACACAGCAATGAGACGCCAATGTGATCACCAGAGCCATGCCGACATGTCAATTAACACTGTCTGATTGCAAATGTGCTTATAGGTTTAAGAGGAAAGTGCACTACAGGAGTTTAAGATTCCTCACTACATAGTTTTCATAGAACTACGCAGCCCTGAGACATTGTTGGCATGTTCTGGTGCGTGAGTCAGTTTCTTGTGATTTCCCGTCCTCCGGCCACGAGAAGCATTTTAACCAGATAATAATCTTCCTCCAGTGCAACATTAGCTCCATCACCCAAGTGCAAAAATACACATCATCACCTTTAATGATCGTAACAGAATTAGATCCGCCCTTTGTGTCACTGACTGAGAGAAGCCGAGGAAGAGGAGGAGAATCCACACACCTGATATATTCATATGAGTCAATCATGGCATCAGGGATATTTAAAGAAACTGACAGTAAATCAAACAGAATCACAGACAACACAACCGAATCCTGTGGTGAGGATTAGGTTGAAATCCTCCATCGTCGCGTGCACACGACGAAGTTAAAAAACATTGGAACACACGAGGCACTGACACTTTCCTCCGTGTCGGTGTCGGAGTACCTGACAGGCCTCCCATGGCCGCCGTCCACGGCTGTTTGTAGGCGACGTTCCAGACCAGGAAAGCCGACAGTCCCATCAGGGCACCGAAGGTCGCGTACCCGATGCTGATGTAGATCCTGTTGCTTCCCATTGTCACATAAAACTTCGCTTGTTGTTTCAAAAAGACGATTTTTTTTTTATTATTTTTTTTTTAAAGCAGACGAGGTTTTAAGCTAAATCATCGGTTGAGCGCCACATTGTTATGTAATGTCCTGACGGGAAAACAACCGGAAACTCCTGGATCGACTTGAAGAACAGAGCCGCTCTGGAAATATGGAAATAATCTGAAACTCATTTGATTTGTTTCTTTTTTTAAATCAGGAATCGAACCATTAAAGTCTCCAGCTAACGATGCTACAAAACATCAAGCTAGCTGTTTATCTCACACGCCTCAAAGACGACGGACGACACAAGAGGAGTCGCCGCCGCCGCCACCAGGCCCTGGTTTCCGGTCAAGATGAATCGTAACAATCGAATTTCCTCGATGTTATTTGTGAATAATTCTTCCTGGGTTTTATCAAACGCATGAGATATAATGTATTGTGTATAGTATACAAATATAATGGGGTTTTTTCTGTGGAATAAATTGATCTGACGTGGTGTTTTAAGGCTTTTTTCTTTCTCTCAAAGTCTTTAATATCTTTGTACAGAGGAAAACTCGCTTCCAAATGTTATATCGCCCCTAGTGGATGAAGGGGAAACGCAATGTCATCGCTCCATTCTCATGTTCCAGGGTTGTGTTCAAGTTAGTTTTTATTATCTAGTATTTAACTCGATACAGAGTGCAGTAATAGTTTTTTTTATTTTCCAAGATTTGGTTCGAGGAAACAGCAGTGAACAAAATTCATGCCACATTGGTAAAGGTAACAATAAGTTATAATAGAAGAAAATATATCAAACTTAAGAGCAAAGATTAAAAAAACAAAGACAAGAAAAAGGAACTAAACAGTTAAAGGAACAAGACTGGGATATTGATGAATGTATTTTTTAAAAACCTCTTCCCTCTAACCTTTCCGTGACGTGAAGTGGTTGACAAAGTTATGAGTAAAAATACTGGGGGGCATTGGGATAATGTTATATATGGATATTATATTTTCCGAGAATAATTGCGAGACTTAGAAACGTTTCGTCAAACCTATAAATCGAATTATCATTTGCCTGCAGAACAAGTTCTCTTGCATAATCTCAATGTTTGCCATGGTCCTTTGCGCGCATGTTGTTCTAAACATGTTGGAGAACAGCTCCTCTATACTTATATTTACAGTGGATGTAAATGGATCACTCAAAACAAGTCATTAGTTCAGTGGTCATGAGTTCATAAAAAGCCACAGAAGCGCTTCTCGTGAACACATGACACAGTTCGTGTTAACACAAACAGTCAGTCAGAAAAATTATATAATATTAATATTAAAGATGCAAAATTTGAAACATATATATGTGTATCACATCTAAATAAGATGCAAGACTATAGTTCCACTGCAGGAAATATTAAAGAAAAATATTATCTGTGATTAATTATGAAACAGCAATGACAAACATAATGTGCTGCAGTCACAGATGTCATTGATGAAAAGCACAGCACTTATTTACTGCTGTGAAGTTAAAGCAAAATCAAATACTGTGCTGTTGCTTTTGATTCTATCTTTGCACACACAAATACACACACACACATCTGTGTCTCACCGCTGTGCTCAGCCCGAGCCCTGGGGCGCTCTTCTTGTGACCAATGGGAAAGATACAGGAAGCTGCGACCAGCAACACTCCCCTCAACTCACATAAGCTGATAGAGAAATCCTCCTCAGACGCATGAAGGGAGCAAAGACTAGAAAAGCAAAAAGTGTGGACGCCATCGGACTGAAGAGGTGAGTTACTGATCCATTCTCAAACTAATGCAACTGACAGACTGACAGATGATTTATTATAAAGTTTATTATATCTTCATGTTTATTCTTTTTTTATGGTATGCCATGCAATTGTTGTCTTGTATGACCAATTACAATTATATGTTTTATGAAAGAGTTTATTTTCCTCACATTTTAGATGTAACATTTAGAAAAAGTCTTATTTGCTAAGTTGTTTTGTTGTTGTATTAGTATTTAGAACGATGTTGCAGGATGGGTCAGAGTGACGCTGCTTTACTTTCTGCTCCAGTCCTCATTTGACCAGGGGGGTCAAACAGATGAAATATGTCTCTCCATGTCACTGCTAACAGGCCAGACGAGAGGAAGGAAAAGGTGTGTGTGTGTGAGTGTGTGTGTGTGTGTGAGTGTGTGTGTGTGTGTGTGTGCGTGTGTGTGTGTGTGTGCCCAGCAGGCCGGCACAACAAGATCAGTTGGCAAAGTACCCGTTCCATGGGCGTAGGTGTGCAGCAGGAAATCCCACTCCCATTCCCTGAGGGTCTAAATAGAAGCACACACATAAATAAACACAGAAAGACAGAGAGAGACAGACCGGGGCCCAAATTTAGACACAAACATTATTATCTGACTTAAAAGAATTAAAGTGCAAAAACAAACCTCCTGTGTTTGAAGACCTTTATACAAGTGGACCAGTTAATGTGAAACGCTTTGGTCTAACAACATGAGGATTTATGAGAAAATGTGAATGAGGCTCACGTGAATATCCTCTTCACTTGATGAGGGCTGCAGTGCACTGAAGTTCTCAGTAGAGGGCAGCATTTATTTTCAGAATACCAGACGAGCATGATGGGAAGTGAGGGCCTCACATCCAATGTAAAGTGACCTTGGGACAGGATAAACGTAATGTCCTCTTTGTGATGGAGCTTTGTGACCGTTTGTTGACCTTCCGACCCGTTCATGCTCAGCGGTCATTGCTACGTCACTGATATTATGACGGAGACTGGGATACAAAGCTGCTTGTCGTAAATGAGTGTGGACCAGAGACACAAAGGGAACTCTTCACTACGTCCAGCCCCAGATGAGCCTTTTAACATAGGTGACATTCATTTCTGACCCTAACACTTGCTCTGGCATTAACTCTGACCCCATAATCATCTGTTCCCCACTCGGTCATAGCTGTGGTCCCCAGTCGTATGAGCAATCCCCAATTAACTGATCTTAAAGACTGGAAATTGTCCCCAAAGGTGACACACACACACACACACACACATACGGCTGGTAACAAGGTCATCCAACAAATCACCAGCATTAATAAGCTTTGATTTAAATCCCAGGGCCACAGAGCAATTACCGCTCTAACATTTTCGGGTTCTATTAAGAAATCAATCGTGAGATTGTCTCCACCCACTGTAGATTGATCTTTTGTGTGGCTGAAGACTTTTACATTTGAAACACGACTTCCTTCAACACCTTGAAACAAGTCCCCTTTTTATGTTCTGGATATTCTCACTTTGTCAGATACTATCAAAGGACCGTGTGCTCTTTCTTATCAGCAGAACTTATCGTCTCCACATTCCCCTGAGGAGGTTTTGAGAAGCTTCTTTCATCCTGTACATTCTTAATTTGAAATTGTAGAGTTCCTGTGAGGCAAATGAAAGAGACAGAGAGTCACACAGCTCCAGCCAGCAGAGAGCTAATCAGCAGCACTTAAAATAGTGTGTGTGTTTTTTCTGTTTGCTTTGATTTCCTGTTTAATTTTAACATTGGCTTTTAGGACAGTTGGGATTGGAACGTCCTCATGACTCCACGGAGGACTAAACTTGGTAAGAAGTCACCGGTTTTTTTTTTTTATAAGCAGGGCCATGTACGCTATGTTCTGTTATGCAATTGAGATTAATGAGACTTGTGATTTAAAGTGAAATTGAGTTCCCTCGGCTTTGTGAGCCGTCGTTCACTCAGCACACACTGAGAACTCACCAAGATAGGATCAGTAACGTCTATAACAAACAGGAGCACCAGGCAGGACTATCGTTTCCATTGCCCTCCTGCATTGTTTCAGCTGGAGCTGGAACCAGAGCTTGGAAAGCAAGATAAATGTCTTGTGAACAGTTGACTCCGGTACTGAAGTGAGTACAGGAAGGGCAGAGCTGCACTGGAACAATTGATGGGATTTAAACAAGTCTTCCATAACATGTCCAGCCTGCGAGACACAGTTGACCACGATCCAGTTCTAACTAGAGTTGCATGAGAAATCCATTTACGTTCAGGGCCCCTTGTCCACATTTCACAATCTGCAGATTCACATGTATTCGCTTTGACTAATCAGTGACAAATTGATGTTTCTTTGCAGTCGCTTAAAGAAATTAATCGTTCCCCTGTTTTGTTTTTTACACAGACGCAGTTCAAGCCATGTTCTCTATGGAGAACTTGGTCAAATCCATCTGCTCTCCACAGAGACACTCGACACCAAAGAAGGTGGGAGTAAGTCATCTGCTTCTTTCCTACACAAAAAAGAAATGAAGTCAGTGAATCAACTACGAGCAACAAAGCAACAGCAGTAACAGACAACACAACACACCATCAGGTTCTGAGTTGTATGGCTCCGTGATGCAGTCATTGGTACACGTCACAGTTTAACACAAACTGAGAATGACAGAAACAACTGATGATCAGGTGCTGTTCTCCAACATAGACTGCCTCGTGCCCTTGAAGCTGTTTATCTGCATTTCTGCAGACCCGGTTGAGCCAGACAGCTGGACGACCTGATAAGTGTGTGTGTGCAGTGTTCTGCAGCTCGTGTGTTGTGCTCCGTACAACTGCACTGAACAAACTAGACCCTACACTACCTGCGTGGAACATTACGCCTCCTTAAATACCCTTGACCCACAATCTGTTTAGTGTGAGGTAAAAAAATTAAATACCGAACAGGTAGTTTATTATCATGCCAGCGTCCTGTATGTGTCTGTTTGGTTTTATTAAGTTTGCCGGATTAAACCCAGCTATGACGACGTGGTCTGATGACAAAGAGCAGTGTTTTAAAAGATTTTGAATTTGCCACCACAACCTTTGAAATCAAAATCACGCCCCTGCTGAAGTGCTGTATGTATAAAAACTGCACCTGCCCACATACACACAAGGTGCATTAGTGTCAGGCTTCATTAAAGGCCGCTGATTACACGGTGGAGAATGCCAGAGGGGGGCGTCTGTCAGTGTGGAGCCCACCCAGAGCGCAACCAGAGCGCGCCCAGAGCGCACCCAGAGCGCACAGTGTTGGTAAGTGTGCGGTTGCGAGGGGGGAGTGGTGGCTGCACACTGTCACACAGCCACACTGAGCAACAACACTTCAGGAACTACACGGAGCCCTGTTTGGATCTGTAGGACGAAATGCGGAATGCTGAGCTGAGACAGTTGCGGTGCAGCCTCGTCGTCTGACTCTAAGGAGCCGGTGGTGCCGGTGGTGGTGTGTGGATTATGTCCGGAGGCGCCGGAGCCTGCCGCAGATCTTCTGACTGGGAAAGTTTGTTGTTTGTTGTGATCTGAGACAAGATGCATCTCTTTCGGAGTCACAACTACCAAGTGTTCCCGGACCGCTCCTCTCTGGAGACGCCGACCATACGAGGCATCAGCTGGGTAAATGCTGCTTCAGTGTTTGGGTCTAATACCTGATGCATTAATAGAAAGAGAGAGAGAGAGAGAG